ATATTATATAACTTTTCTTAAATAAATCTATATCTGTCACCAAGTTGTGAAATATGTTATGAGACAGATAATTTGTTGAAAAAATTGATTGATCTCCTGCACTGCATTTACCAATGAGACAGGTTATTGCTTGGATTTGAATCCAAGCATCCAATAAAAAGAAGGATCTTAAAGAAACTGATAAAATTCTGATGATTAGTGTTATTTCCACAGTTGTGGTCTTGACCGGTCGTGAAATAAAATGCCGAGTCCTCAGCGCCCGAGACCGAGACAAGACCGAGACCAAATGCGGTCAAGTCCGAGACGAGACCGAGAACAACAAAAAATGGTCTCGAGACCAAGACCGATCTCGAGTACTACAACACTGCCTCACGTGCCCATTAATTGTGGGGATGAAATGTTTTCCAAAGTTCTGATGTTAAATAAATGGCTGAATGCAACATGCAAACAAACAGCTGTAACGTTCATAGACAACTTTAACATCTTTTGGGAGAGGAGACGTCTGTTCAACAGAGATGGTTTCTCTCTAAATAAGTCAGGCGAAAAACGGCTGATATCAAACATTTTCTATTCTGAAGCATGCACCATCAGCTTTGTTCCAAAGCAAAGCTCAACCAGTGCCTAAACAAACGATAAGCCCAGTACAGCCCGAACAAGCCAAGATAAAGATGGCCAGAAGGATGACACAGAAAGAGCCTTCGTCAGAACTACAGGAGGATTCATCCCAGATCTCAGCAGGACAAAAAGAGGACTGCCCTTTAAATTCCAAAGAGAACCAACAACTTCCATCCCCACAGACACCAGTCCAGATTGCACCCAATTCCCCCTCTCCCCCAACAAAGCCCAAATGTTCCTTTTTTGGAATTTTCTCATAACATGAACAAAGTTTTTAAGATTGGTCTACAGTTGACATCCTCTCCACTTAGCCATTCTGAAAACCGCAGCTATGTGAAAAAAACAGCATCTTCTAAAAGCCGCAGAGCCCCACTCTGCAAAAAATGGTAATCTAACTTAGTAATTATTTCTTAAAATAAGTGGATTTTTTCTTAAATTGAGCAAGTAAGTGAGACACTTTGCCACTGGAATAAGACCATTTACATTTTAAATAAGAAAAAAACAATTGCAGTCTCTTATTTAAAGTGCAAAATATCTAATTATTTTATTTTAAGGGTAAAATTCTCATTCCATTGGCAGATCAACTTATTTTCCTACTTAAATTAAGGGTGAATACACTTATTTTAAGACATGTGTACTGATTTGCAGAATGTTTTTGCAGTGCAGATCCTCCTCTACATATGACGGAACGTCAGGACCTTCAGATAACTTCTCCGTGATACACACCGGGCCCTGGCAACAAGCTTATCAGACATAACAGTTTCCAGCTGCTGAATAAATAAACTACAAATAGCCTGAGTTCCTTTCAATCAAGAGTAAAAACACATTTGTTTAGGATTGCCTTCGACTGTTCTAGTTAAACAGTTCAACTGAAACATCATTAGTTCAACTTTTTTATTTTTTTTAGTCCAACTGTTTTTAATGTTCTTTTTTTTTTCTACATTTTTTATTCTATTTATTTATAAAAAATATATTTCAATAATGTTAAGCACTTTGCAATGTCTTTGTACTGAATTGTGCTATACAAATAAATTTGAAAAAGAAAAAAATGCATGGCCTTGGTACCATCATACTGTGGGGTAAGCTGCTTCCGTAGAATAAAGGAAGATTATCAAGGTTAAGAAGGTATAAACCTGATAGAATTGGGAAAATACATGAGACAACTGTTAACATACAACCAGAGCCCTATGGTGAGACATCAGAATGGCTCAGAAAAAGCACAGAAAAAAGTATATATATATATATATAATTTATCGACGAGTCTGAGTGATGTTTTATTTTGAAAAATCTAAAGTATTGCGGTATTCTCTGCCAATTACATCAGTTGGTGCATCTGTGCCTCTTGACACAGGTTAATTCAGTTCAAGACTCATCCTATCTATAACATCGTATCTTTGTGAAGCGGGATTTTTTGCGGTTACAGCGACCAAAACAAAGCTACGGAGCAGACTGGACATCAGGAGCACACTTCGTGTGTCACTGTCTCCGATAACGCCTAGATGGAACCGGCTTGTTGTTTTATTTTTATGCTGTTTGCATTAGATTTTATGCCAGTCGTTTCATGGGGCTGTCCCCACGGACCATGGTGCAGTCCGTGGTGCAAAAAAGGTTGGGGACCGCTGCTCTAGATGCTTAAAGTCCTAGGGAAGTGGCTGTTCCAACCGTTGAATTTCCGAATTCTCCCGGGTGGTGCACGACTTTACACGAGTGAATAAAGTGAATGTGATTGGTCGTTTATCAAGGGAGCGGGATTGTTGTGGAG